GCCCACACTTTTCTCTCTGTATAAGTGAGGAAACATGCTCCCTGTCAGCTCCGAATCAAAGCTCTGTCACCTATAAGTCTTGCTTTTCCACCCCGTGATATCCAGTATCCCCCACTTGGGTGTCTTGTTCACGTCGGCTCTGCTTCTGGTTCCCGTTCAGAGGCTAAATGTTAATGTCTCGCTGTGGCTGCCAAGTGCTGCTCTGGGGATTGTCACTTTGCTGAAAGGTGCCAGAACATAAGTAGCTCGAGCGTGAGCCTTAGACAAGGCTGACGCTGGGTGGATCTTGGGGCCTGTGAATGTCTACTACTTTGTTCTCACGCTTCCAGTCCCTGGAAATGCACGCAGCGTTTATCTCCTGCCTCCTCTCCGTCTTCTCTGTTAAAGCAGTGGTGCCAGATATAGATTCTGAGCACTGAGTTTCTTTCATTAAGTGACATGTCACATACTCTGCTCTGTCTTGTGTCAAGGAGGCTATAATAACTGCTGGCTGGCGTTGGTGGCGGAGTACTTAGTACGCATTGTGCATCAGTGCTTTTACATAGCCATTCTCTGATTTCTGATAGAATATTTTACAGGTGGAGAAAATGGATGCAGTCCATTGTAGTTTTCCACAGTGCCACAGACCCCAGGGTAAGAGCCCAAGGGCAGATCTGGAGGGACAGAGGGGCTCAACATTGAGTACTGTACCCAAGGAGAAGGATCACATTCTGGGTTGTTCAGCTTTGCTACAGGTTCTCCAAGTTGCATGCTCTGTGAGTGGAAATGAAGATGCTGAATGGGAGCTCCCTCCCTCTTTGGTTAAGTGAATTTAAAAACTTCTGGCAAAGACGACTGACTCATCCCTTTCCTGTCAGATAGGCATGTCTCTATGTGTCTGGTCTTACTTAGAGGTTAAAGCAGCAGCTCTTCTATGGCTGTAAGATACAGAAACACCCAGAAGGGAGTCTTCTTGAAATGATGACTTGCTTGATTTTTTTTTTTTAACCACACAGACTCAGAATGCCTTTACTAACTAAAAGTTTGATTATATGGGTGCAGTGCAAGATTGCAAGTATGAGTATCTGTCCTTGTAGGGAGCTGTTTCTAATTATTTGTATTTTTGGTATTCTGTTTATAGAAATAAATACTGAACCTTTTTGTAAAATTCAGAGGAAAATGATGAATGGGAGGGCTGGTCTGTAATTCTTTATTAGTAGCAGGGTGCAAGCATTTTGAAAGACAATAATTAGAAAGTCCCGAAACTACAGGGGAAAACAATCATCTTAACTCTAAATTATAATCCAAAGTCCGATGGTTATGGTAGAGTACAAAATCACAGTCATCCACCATACTTTATTAAAATACAGTCAGTGAATTCTTTACTTATTGGCTCCACCAATAAAATGTGTTGCAGCTATCAAAGCCGTCAGTTTAGGTTAGTATCCAGAGTTTTCCTTTAAAGCCAGTGTCTGAGGAGTTTCTGTTGTGGAATTAGAAACAGAGCCCATCTTCTCCACACTTTATTTCTTCCTTATTCCTACATTGATGAGTGGTTCGAACGCTACGTCCATAATGAGAGCGGACTGAACAGGCATCACATCATTGAAAATAGGGCACATTGTTGCTTCCTCTTCTTCTCACCTTTTGGACATGGATTGAAGCCTTTAGCTGTTACATTTATGAAGGTAACACACAGTATGTGGATATTGTGCCTGTCCTTGCAAAAGCTGATGCATGCACTCTGAAGGAGCGTGAGAGGCTAAAGAACAGGATTTTGGAAGAAATTGCAGAGAGTAACATCAAAATCCATCACTTACCGAATGCAGAGTCAGTTGAAGATGAAGATTTTAAGGATAAGACTAGACTCCTCAAGGCCAGTATCCCATTCACTGTGGTTGGCTTCAACCAGTTGATTGAAGCCAAAGTCAGGGTCAGAGGTCATCTCTACCCGTGGGGTATTGTGGAGGAAGGAAAGCAGGGGCTAATTCTGTGCTCTCCTGTTGCTGCAGAAGAAAGTGATTGATGATGAGGCAGGGAATATGTTTAATTCAGGCCAAAAATCAATAGTACTAATACAACAAGACTTAAAAATTGTTAGTTATAAATTGCAGAAAATGACCCCAAAGGGAGTGGCACTATTAGGAGGTGTAACAACTTCCTTGTTGGAGGAAGTGTGTCACTGTGGGGGTGGGCTTTGGAGGTCTTTTCTCACTCTTCACTCAGTGTGACAGCCAGTCATCTTCCTGTTGCCTGCAAGATGTAGCACTCTCGGCTCCAACACCACATCTGCCTGCACGCTGGCATGCTTCCCACCGTGATCATAGTGGGCTGAACCTCTGAAACTGTAAGCGAGTCACCCCAGTTAAATGTTTTCTTTGTAAGAGTTGGTCATGGTGTCTCTTCACAGCAATGGGAAACCCTGACTAAGACACTTATAATGATCATGACCTTCCAAGTAATGGTTTGAATCTCTGTGGTTTAAGTCATCCAGTGACTTTCATGTCAAGTTTCTGTGGCTGCATGCGTCAGTGCAATAGCACCAATTTCAGATGTGTCTGTAGTTTGAACTACCCATAAATACAGTATGCAATCTTGTCACATGTGGAGGGCCCAACGGACAGCTTCAGAGGAGCTAGGGAAGTGGCTGGCCCTGCTATGTTTATTGAGTTATATAAAGTAAAGTAGATATCGTCCATTCACAAAAATTTAGCCAACATGTCATTGTCTTTACACGTGTTATACTTTAACCAAAAGTTCATGTACAGCTGGGTGGTGGTGGCGCACACCTTTAATCCCAGCACTCGGGAGGCAGAGGCAGGCGGATCTCTGTGAGTTCGAGGCCAGTCTGGTCTACAGAGTGAGTTCCAGGATAGCCAAGGCTACACAGAGAAACTCTGTCTCGGAAAAATAAAAATGACAACAACAAAAGGTTCATGTGCAAGTCAGGTGTAGTGTGACACAAATGTAAACACCAGCACTTGAAAATCTGAGACAACAAGGTCATGAGTTTGAGGCCAGCATAGGCTATGTAGCATGCCTCTGCCTCAAACAAACAAACAAGCCAACAAATAAAAACATCAACGTGTGTGTGTGTGTGTGTGTGTGTGTGTGTGTGTGTGTGTGTGTCTGTATGTGTAACAAGCACTGTTCCTAGTATGGTTATATTTAGAGTGACTTCCACCCTCTTGGCTAGACACTTGTAATTTTGTTGTCCTCTGGTCATAGAGGATAGCAAAGTGAACATTCAATCAGCAAACCCATAGCCATAGAAAAGAAGGCAATTATTAATCAGCTTATTAATCAGGGCTTAACAATCTAGGGACATAGTTGTCAGCGGCTCTGAAAGGAGAGTTCTAACTAAGGCAGATATGGTGACTCCATATCCTCAAGGCTAATTAATTGTGTTACATCTACCCGTTCTGTGTCTGGGGCTCATTCAGAAAGCTCTACCAAGGCTGGTTAAAATAAAAGGCTTCCATTTAAAGGTAAATTGATGATAGAATGAAGCACCACTGCCTTTTAGGAGGTAAGCTTTATTTCACCATGATTCTGCTTATATACTTACCACATTTCCAAATTAGTCCATTTTTACTAAGATGTAAATAACTTAAAAAATAAGAGATTGTACAGAGGTCATGTTATTGACAATATTGAAACAATGTGGTTGGGACTAGGTAGGCTTTGATCAGTTTCACTTTGCAGTGGTGGGAAGTTAGGCTCAGGAGAAGCTGAATGGACTTTGCCCAGACACAGTTAATTAGCTCTTGTTCTCCAGCTGATGATTTATTGTCGGACCCGACGTATCCTCCTTTGATGGATCTGTCCATTCACAGCACTTAGCTTTAAGGAGATGTTGCAGTCACACAACTTGGGTTCAAATAGCAGATCTTGGGTTTGCCACTGGACTGTGACGCCAGGCTCTGATGGCTGTGCAAACTGTACAAACAAACACTAGGTGGACATTAATTTGGAGGTAGTTCTGCATAGGAAATAGCCCAAGAACACACCTCTTAAACAGAGCCGAGGCAGAGAAGGAGTGAGGACTTGCCTGCCCCTCTCCATAAGAGCAGGCCTGAGAGAGACATGCCATCACTCCATGTTGGAGATCATCTCTACTTCTGGTCCTGACTACATAGTGAAGTTGTCTGTTGTCTCTTTCAGCCTGCAGAAGTGCCTCTTTCAGGGACCTACAGGAATAAATAGTATAGTGTTTGAATGTTAGTCCTCTTAATGGCATTCTAAAAAGGGTGAGCATAGTGTATAGCCTCAAGTGTCACTGAGATCTAGAGCCCAGTTAGGGACTTTGTTGCTGTTGGCACCTGTTACTTCCGCCACCATTTACAACTGTAAGCCTCACCTTTAAAGGCTGTTATGGGAATGAACAGAGATGCTAAAAGTGGATATAAAGATATATAGATATAAAGATATGAAAGTGGATAAGATGTTGGGCACATACTAAACACTCAGCAAATGTTTCCTATGACTCTTATTATTCACATATAAAACAGCAACAGACTTGGCTTGTTCAAGAACTTGACCACTATGCATCTTAGTGTAGAGTGTATTATTTAAGAAAGATGATTTTGCTGCAAGCAATGGACAACAGGAAAAAAGTCAATGACTTTCTACTTAGAAACTCAACCTGGGATGGGGAAAGAGAAAAGAAGTGATGAATTTCACTTTTCAAAGAGCCTTGTTTTGGGGTTGAAAAGCCTAAGATCGAGTTCCTGCTCCATCATTTAATAAAAGATGACAGTGATTGGTGAGAGGTATGTAGCTAAGTGGTAATATGACATTCTGGATTCAAGCCCCAGCACTGAGAAAACGTGTAAATGAGCAAATGATCAGACCCCGCTGAGTCTCTCATCTTCACCATGAGGTTGATAACAATGCCCACTTGGGTCTTGGAGGGTTGCCGTGGAGCTCAGGGGTGAGACCGTGTACATGGCAAAGCTTTGTTGGAGATGAGCTCTGAGATGATGACTCCTAAGGAGGTGTGTTTCCTTGTCTCCTTGCAGTTTCCACCTTGCTGCCGCGAAAGGACACGTGGAATGTCTCAAGGTCATGGTGACACATGGTGTGGATGTGACTGCCCAAGACACTTCCGGTATGTGGCTACTAATCTCTTAAATCAACAAGCCAGCATGAGGATCGGTATCATAAAGGTGGCACATACTCATTGTGGAAAATTTAGAGTGTGCCGACAAGCCAGGAGTCTACCGTTGTGTCATTGTTTGTCTCTGTGTTTTCGTCTTCGGTGTGACTAGTCAGCTGGAGACTGTATGCTTTTTTTTTCTCCAGCGCTGCATTTTATATTAATTTCTAAGACTGTATATATAGATCAACCAATATCTCCTCATTCTTGATTTTGTGTAAACTGATCAATATGGTGAATTACTGGTAGCGGATTTCATAGCTGGCTTAGAGCTCTGGACAAAAGGATGACTTTAATCTTGACCCTGGCTGTACTGCAGGGCCTTCAAAGTCATCTGGGACCTGGAAGAGATGAAGGAGGAAGGGGAAAGAAAGAAGAATAAACAGTACACTGGGGGGCGGGGGAAGCAAAAGGAGGAAGGCAGAGATGGGGGAGGGGGGGAGTATGGTGATGGTTAGTGTTGTCAGCTTGGCAGAATTTAGAATTGATTGCCTGGAAAATTGACCCTGGGCATGATGGCTAATCTTGATGAAGGAGGAAGAACCAACCAGTGTACCATTCCCTAGATGGGATCTTGGACCTTGTAAGAGTGGAGAGAGTGAGTTGAAGCATACATGCATTCCTTGCTATGTGGAGATAATGCAGACAGCTACTTCAGGCTCTTGCCACCGTGACTTCCCTTCTGTGAGGGACTGTAACCTGGAACTGTGAGCCGAATGAACCTTTCTCCCTGAAGCAGCTTTTGTCTGGTTATTTTTATCACATTAACACGGATGTTTCCTAAAGGCTTCCTGGGTGATTCTAATGTGAGGCAGTGTTGGGACATTTTTAGCTAGGCAAATGAAGGGAAAAGCAGGAGAGCCTGTGTCTGTAGGGCTGTCCTCCAGCAAGGGGCCCCTGGGGTCTTTGTCCTAGGATTTGTTCTCTGTTGGCCATGTGGAAAGGTTCAAGCTGATGACTTCATTGGTCTGTGCACTTGGAAATCTCTGGCCTCTAAAAGGTTTACATTAGTTTTTACTGGGAGATAAAATTGGTATAATTGCAGCAGAGTCTTCGTTTGCGGTCTTCATCAACTACACTGAATTCCTTCCTCTCCCTCCCCTGAGTGGCCTCTTCAGAGCGGCCATCTCGGGGATCAGCCAGGTGTCATAAGCCCATTATTACCCACAGAATGGTTGGAAACCTAACGTTTCAGAATGGTTTTCAAAGTCCGTGGCATGTTTGGCCTTTCTTTTTCTTGCTTTTTAAGTAATTTAGTAGTTGGGAATCTTTACACTTTGAGAATAGTTAGGTGTGTTTGTTTTCTAGAAAAGCCAAGAACCAAAAGGGCATAAGTCAGGCAAATGTATCAAGCTAATATAACTATTTTTTTGGGAAAAAATTGAAGTACCAGTGATTTTTCTGAGCAGTTTCACAGAGAATTCAAAAAAATATATGAGGAAGGTCAGTGTTAGTAGAACAAACTTCCTTTAAGTGACTGTTTTGTGGGGAATATTAATTCATTTTGAACAAATGACACTTTAATCTCAGGACCCAGCAATTTTGTTTATTTTAAAGTACACTGTCGGTGTTTTTAAAGTTATTCCACATTATATAGTGCAAATATGAGTGGCCAACATACCGCCAATAATGTCAGCAAGGGGAGGTTGACCTCTAAGAAAACTATAGTGTCAAGAATGAGGCTAGAGTGAATGGACCCGCTGTCCTGTGGTTCTGTTCCACTGCTTCTGTTGTTAGGAAACAGATTAGGTGGGAATCTAGTTATTCTGTCACAGCCAAACATCACCCTTCATCTCTCCTAACATTAAAGAGAGAAATAATCTCCTTTGATAAATGTTCATGATAGGAAAGTACAAAAAAAAAATGCAAAGAAAATAACCATTGCTTCTACTCTTACTAGAAAGAAATATTTTATGCTCCTTAAAATCAAACAAAACAACCATGTTCTCCCAAACACACTTCTCCTTAGCTTAGTCACATTATGGAATTCTATGTCCTGCCTTTTGCGGTCTGTGTGTGTGTGTGTGTGTGTGTGTGTGTGTCTGTGTGTCTGTGTGTCTGTCTGTGTGTAAACCACAGGCCAACCTGGTATCATTCCTCGGGTGTCATCTACTGTGTTTTTTGAGGCAGGGTTTCTCCTTGGCCCGAAGTCTGTTGAATGGGCTTTTCTGACTGGCAAGGAAACACCAGCAATCTACCTTAATCAGCCCATCTCTGTCTCTCCAGTGCTGGGATCCTAAGCACACATCACCGCACTCAGCTTTTTTTTTAATGTTTATTTTTGTTTGCATTGGTGTGTTGCCTGCATGTATGTGAGAGGGTGTCAGATCTTGGAGTTACAGACAGTTGTAGCTGCCATGTGGATGCT